CAGCCCTTACAAGAGCTCTGAAGTTTCAGCTTTGCCATAAATCCACTTCTGACAACATCCCTCCTTTCTGGACCAAAAAAATCTTCCTTTTAAAATGCATTTTTAATTTCATCAAAGTAATACGTAGACAGTTTATAACCAAGCAGTGCATGAAGGTTTATAGTGAGAACCTTAATGCCTTGTCTAGGCCTTCCTCATTTCTCAAGACTGCTTGCCAAAGGCAATCCCTTTTAACTCCTTCAGCTATTTCTTCTGGGAGTTACCTCCTTTTTTTTCAGAATAATAGCTAATAATGCTTTTTCTTAACTTACTAATTTTAGATCTTTATTTTTGCTGCAGTCGATAAGGATCTGTCTCATGCTACCTTCTATCATTTATTCTCATGCTACCTTCCATCATTTATTCTTCTAGTATTATTAAATCATATTTAATTATATCAATAAATAATTTTGACACTTGTGATTGTAAAAAAAAAAAAAAAAAAATTCACTGCTGTCGAGTCGGACCCAACTCATAGTGACCCCTCCTTGAGTTTCTGAGGCTGTATCACTACCAAAGTAGATTTTCCAACTTTCCTTCTGAGGAGTGGCTGGTGGGTTTGAACCGCCAGTTTTCTGGCTAGTAGTCAAATGCCTTAGGCACTACGCCACCAGAGCTCCCACTGTGACTATAGAAATGTTGAATTATTGTTGTTAGCTGCCCTGGAGTCAGCCCCTAACTTGTGGTGATCCAAAATGTTGAAGAAACCCCCTCCCAGAGTCAATTCCTACTCATAGTGACCCCTATAGGGTTTCCAAGGCCGTAAATCTTTATAGAAGCAGACTGCCGCCTCATCGTCCTCCGGTGGAGAAGCTAGTGGGTTCAAACTGCTAACCTTTTGGTTAGAAACTGAATGGCTTAACCACTATGCTATCAGTACTCCTTAAATGTTGAATAGGAGATCAGGGAGCAGGAATGCATAGGAAAGAAGGACACAGGGAAGAGGTAACTACAGGGAGGAAGTGGGAAGAGAGCTGTTACATTATGGGGACTGCAGTCACTGTCATGAAACAAAATGTGTAGGAACTGCTGCATGGAAAATGAATTTTCTCTGTAAACTTTCACCCAAATCACAATAAAAATTAATAAATATATATATTTTTAACGTTGGAGAACCAAATACTACAATGGATTATAATTGTGTGTATTCCTCATACATACTTTTTCTTGGCCTAAAGATTCAAATTATTATTTTTTCTTATAGTATCTTCCCCTCTTCCTTGGTGGCTGGCTTTGTGTATATGTGTGTATGTATGTGTAGTAAGATATATATAACGAAAAAGTTTGTCACTTTAACCATTTTGAAGTGTACAATTCATTCTTTGAGTACCTTGATTGTAATCAATTGCTCTTCCTCACCCCTCTTCATTACAAATGCTGTTGTACCCAGTCAATCTATCAAGCTATCTTTTTTTATAAACCTGCCTCCTGGAACCTTCTGCATTAATACCTTCTGACCTGTGATGGGTTGATTTGTAACATGTCTGCTACATGGAGGTCTTCCTAGGACTTCTCGTGGCTGCTTTCCTGCCTTGCTGGGTCCACTGCATCCTGGATCTCAAGTCTAACTTTTTTGTTCACTTCCTGCTTTTGCTTAAGCACATTGTCAAATAACATTGGATGAGTGTGTGTGAGGCAAATTTTCTAATTCCTTATATATCTAAAAAAGCCTTCAATTTAAATGGCCATAATTTAATGTCAGTGTAACTGGTTATAGAAATTTATGTTTGAAATCAAATATTGCTTCAAAAATTTAAAAGCATTGGTCCATTTTCTAGCATCCAACATTGTTGTTGAGTCTTATTCTTTTGTAGGTAAACTAGGGCCTTTTTCCTTAGGATTTTATTATCTCTGGTTATCTTAGTTGCCTCAACTCACTGCCGTCAAGTCAGATCCGACTCATAGCAATCCCTCGTTGGGTTCTGAGGCAGTATCACCATGGAAGTAGATTGCCCAACCTTCCTTCCAAGGAGTGGTTGGTGGGTTTGAACCTCGAGCTTTCTGGTTAGCAGTCAAATGCCTTAAGCACTACGCCACCAGAGCTCCCCCTTAGTTACCTAGTGTTGCCATAACAAAATATATCACAAGTGGGTAGCTCTAAAGAAAATAAATTTATTTTCTTACAGATTTGGAAGCTAAAAGTCCAAATCAAGGTCTCAGTCATGTTGATTCTGCAGTCCTCTCTACTAGTTTCTGGTGACTACCAGAAATCCTTTACTCTCCTTTGCTTGTAGACAATCCTCACATTATGTCTGTCTTACCCCTGTGTGTCTCCCTATGTCCACCCCACTCTTTTATAACTCAGAAATGATTAGATGTAGGACCCACCACCCCCCATCCCTGAATGACCTCATTAACATAACAAAAGAAAAACTGTATTTCTAAACAGGATCACATCTATAGGTACAGGGATCAGGACTTCAATATATATCATAATTCAATCTATAACAGTGGTATTTAAAAGTATGGTGAAAATGTGCT